GATCCCGCTCCTGCAGGAGAGATGGAAGACTGTTGGACTCACCTGAGGCAGAGACATATTCCACATGGAAGTGATACCATGCAGTATTTGTCTTTTTCTGTTTGGTTTATTTTACTTAACACAATGTCTTTCAGATTCATTTATCTGGTCGTAAATGGCAGGATTTCCTTTTTTGTTTTTAAGGCTGACTATTGTATAACACATGTATCACATTTGCTTTATCCATTTGTTTATCGACAGACACTTAGGTGGTTTCCAATATCTGGGCTGTTGTGAATAATGCTGCACTTAATATGGGAGTATAGATATCTCTTTGAGGTAATGACTTCAGTTCCTTTGGATATATACCCAGACAAAGCTGGGATTGCTGGATCATACGGTATTTTTTGTTTTTTGAGGACCTTCCATATTTTCTACAGTGGTTTCTCTAGTGACATTCTCACCAACAGTACACAGGGTTTCCTTTTCTCCATACCCTTGCTAACACATATTATCTCTTATCTTTTGGACTCTATTTGACACTGTTAACACAAAAAAACTATTGAAACCTGTAAAGAATTTTTGTGAGTTTATTTGAGCCAAACTGTTGACATATGCTGGGAAGCAGACCCTCAAGGAATTGAAGTAATGCTCTGGAGAAAGACGGGTTACATTTGTATTTATACATTGCAATCAAAGGAAAGGGACGTGGGTGAATTACATGAAATCCATTGGTGATAGACTAGAGAGGTGGGAGAAAGCAAAGTGGGAAAACCCCTGGGATTGAATAAAAAGTAAAATGATGGACATATACTTAGGTGGGTGCAGGAACAATTAACATGATAATGAAGGAATTTGTGGTATCTGTCCTGGAGCCCAACACATTTGGGGTCCAGAAGTTACAAGTTACCCAGACATTTCAAGGGTTTGTTATCATAGATGCAAAAAGACAGATAGGCTCAGTTAAGGTAAAGGTTGACCTTGTCAGTGAAGATACTGGCCTAGGACATAACTGCCCACCATAACTGCTTTTATTTAAAGTTTAATTTCAGACCATCCTTTATGGTTACTGAAAGATCAGACAGAGGCCGAAAACCAGAACTACATGCTTTATTAGAGGAGAAGGACCTGCCGGGCTGTCTCGCAAGGGGAGAACAGCAGCACGTGCAGAGGTGGGCACGCCTTTGGAGGGGCAGAATGGGAAGGAATGGGGGCTTATTGTACTCGGTGCACGCTGATTGGTGGCTTAATTTATGGTCCATATAGGAACAAGTGTTTAGGTATTTGGCAGGTGTGGATTGGTGGTCCAATGTATAGTCCATACATGGTTAGTCGCTCAGTTATTTCCGGGCTGCAGGTTACATCATACTCCACCCACCAGTTGCAGGAAGGGAGGATCTATCAGTTACTTTAGGTCTCTGAGTTTGCAAGACTGCCATGCAGGCCTTCCCTCAGCTTGTCAGGTTAGAATGTGGTCCCTTTCATCCACAACACTCACTACAATACCGTCTATTCTTTATTTTTGGATTCTTTTCACCTTTTACAGGGCCTGGAACACTGAAATGATTTTTGAATATTTAACATTGAATGACATCAAAGAAATGACTACTAGGCATGACTTTTGGCACCAGCTAAAGAATTGGTGGTTATCATTGTGGGAAAGAAACTCAAAAATGTGATGCTGGTAATCTCTGGTCATAAACATATACTGAGAGTAAATCTTGCCTTCAATTATAAAAAAGGCTGGGGAGAGCTCTCTTACTAGAAACAACAACAAAAAATATGTTCTGGCCTTATTTTTTGTTAATCCAGTTTGGGATAAATGATATACTACTGAGATGGAAGCCTCAATGAAATTACTGGGGGATGTACTGTTCTACTTATGGGGCAACCTCACTCAGACTCTGACTCTCAAGGGGACTTGGCTACCTACACTAGTGCCCTTCACTGACCAGGCCAACATAAACATGGCTGGGAACGGGACAGTGTTTTTTGGTCTTCAGTCCCTGGAGACACTTTTTCACTGGGAAAGATATACTCACTCTGATGAGCAATTGCCTGAGTCCCAGAGTTCTCTCACAGCAGCACAGTGGCTGCCTGCCTGGGACCACCTCTATTAGTTAACTCAGCTCTCAAGCACCCAGAGGGTATCCTCCTGGAAGCTCTTCCTGACCAATGGGAACCAGAAGGCAAACACTCTCTCAGAACCCTAGTTCATGTGAACAAGGAATAAACAATGGCCATACCCCACTTTAGTTTGTCATTTTCTAGAATACAGTGACATTTTTCTGGAACAGCTTTAAAAACTATGACCTTTCTGTTGGTCTTCATCCTCTAGTGCATAAGATCAGTCATTTCAATCCTATTTAAATCCCACCTCTTTCATCCACCATACTACTCCCTTCCTTTTCCCCATCCCTCAACCTCAGACCTGGTACTGGTGTGTGTAAGACCCAGGGGGCGGAGGGGCAGGGGGCAGGGGGTGGAAGAGAGGAAAGGCCAGTTTTTAAGTTCCACACTCCCAGGTTAATGTGACTCAATGAGTGATTTAAAAACAAACTCTGTGTGGCTTGCTTGTCATATCAGAACACACATTTCTATTCTTCCAATATCCTGTCAGGCAGGGATTATTACTTGCCTCCTCCATGGAAGTAATAATAATGAATACTTATTGACTACATACTTTGTACTAAATACTATCCCAAGTATTTTACTTGGATGATTGTACACAATTCTCATAAAACACTGATGGGTAAGTACCGTTATCATCCCTAATAAACAGATGAGGATAACAAGCCTCACAGAGGGTGAATTGACTTCAGTCACAGAACTGTCTGCTCTTTCTGTTGGACTGGGCTTCCTTTTAGAGAGCCTGTGACTACTCCTGGGGTGCGCAATCCCTAATCTTTGAGAGCAGGATTGGTTTTTGGAAAGAGCCTTAAGTGGTAGATTCAGGGAGTAGGAGATTGGGTTGGTACCATGTTTGGGAAAACAGCAGGTGTGGCCTCAGGGAAGGGGTCCCTGAAGGGTTTCAGCCTTACAGGCACTTTGGAACAGTTCATGGCTTCTCAATGCTCAGAGATTACATCCATCAGATAAGGTCACTCACCTAGTGGCAGAAAAGAAATGATAGCTTAGAGCTCCCAAATCCCATCCCAGGGCTATGTCTCCCAGTAATGCAAGGGATTAAATATCATCCCTTCTAGGCTACTATACTACCTGCGGTAAAAAAGAAGGAATTCTTACCATTTGCAACAGCATGGATGGAACCTGAGAGCATTATGCTAAGTGAAATAAGCCAGTCAGAGAAAGATAAAGATCACATGATCTCACTCATTTGTGGAATATAATGAACAACATAAACTGATGAACAAAAACAGATCCAGTGACAGAGAAGCATGAAACAGACCGTCAAACCTCAGAGGGAAGGTGGGGGAGGGTGGGGTAAAGGGGAGAGATCAACCAAAGGATTTATATGCAAGCATATAGGCCTAACCAATGGACACAGACAATAGAGGGGTGAGGGCATGAGTGGGGGGCTGGGGGGGACCAATGGGGCAATAAGGACCATATGTAGTACCTTAATCAATAAAGAAAAAAACCTTTAAATAATATATTTTCTTTAGTCCAATATATCCAAAATACTAGTACAACCATTTCAACATGTTCTTGACATAACATTGATAAGGAAATAGTTTATTATTTCTTTGGTAAGTATTGCAGTAAAACATATAACATAAAATTTATCATTTAACATTTAAATTTATTTAAATTTTTTTAAGTATACAACCCAGTGGGCTAAGTATATTCACATTTTTGTACAACCATCACCACTATCCATTTCTACAACTTTTCATCACCCAAACTGAAATTCTGTACCCATTAAATAGTAACTCTTCATCCTCCCCTCCCTTTAGCCCATGGTAGCCTCTATTCAGCTTTCTGTCTCTATGAGTTTGCCGATTTTTATACCTTACATAAATGGAGTCATACAATATTTGTCCTTTTGTGTTTTGCTTATTTCACTTGACATAATGTTCTCAGAGTTCATCCATCTTGTAGCATGTATCAGAATTTTGTTCCTTTTTTATGGTTGAACAATATTCCATTATACGTGTATACCACATTATGTTTATCTGTTCAGCTGTTGATGAACACTTGGGTTATTTCCACCTTTTGACTATTGTAAATAGTGCTGCTATGAATATTGGCATACAAGTCTTTAGATGACTTTTTAAAAATAAAAATCATAGGGCAGCGGGAAGGGTAGGAAAGACAGAAATAGAATATGAATATGTTGGACTTTGGTGGGACACAGTGAGGAATTTGGGAGCAAGAGATACACATTTTATTAAATTGTCTGTTTGACCATGCTCTTAGGCATATGGAAGTAGGCAGGAGGGTTTAACGGAGATATAGTAATGAATAGGAAGTCAGAAGCAGATGGAGGTTGTGGGGACCTCATTATTTGGAGTGAGGCCAAATACCTGAATCTCTACTTTCACAGAGCATGGACATCTCTTTGTTTCTTTAGGGAAGTTACCTCTTTCTTCCATTCTCTCTCTTTCCTCAGTCCTGTTCTGGCTGCATTGATTGGCTGCATGACTTGACTGCTCTGAGCAGGGAATCACAGTTGAATGATCCGAGGATCCCTCCTCTTAAGCAAGAGCCCACAGGTTGAAATCTATTCCAAGGTTTGTTCAGTGAAGCTACTAAGGGAAAATGTAGGCCCAAGGATTGCAGTAAGATTTCAGCTTTTCATCAGATCTTGAGAAAAGATTCATTAGAATCTTCACAGTTATACAAATGGTACCTATAAGGATTCCTGCGCTGGTGGGAAAGAAGATTAGAAAACCTCTTGTATCTTCAAATCGGATTTTTTAGGATTCTATGAATATAAAGTCAATAGCCAGGACACTTAGCAAAATTTAAAATAGAATTTTATTAAATCTTATAGCTAAGTTAAAACTTAGACACTTGAACTGTTTGACAGATACAAAATGCATTAAAAAAAAGGGAGATACGATTGAGAAGGTGCAAGAGGTAAATAGACAAAAATATTATTCTCCCTTAATCTGGAAAGAAGCAGGATGTAGAATATGAAGAGTAATCCAGATTTGTTGCCCACAACAAGGGCAGGGTTAACTCTCAAAACACATAGTCATTCATCTCATTAAGCACACAGCAGAGAGAAAACAGAGAATTTGCACAGGCTGAGGAAATAAATGGCAGATGTTAAATAGGAAGCAATATAACATGGAAATTAAGTAACTATATTTGATCATCAAATGTAATTTCAAATCTTGGCGTAGCACACACAAACTGTATGAGTTATCTTGTTAATGTAAGCCTCATTTCTCTCACTTATAATAGGGGACAAAAATATACTTACCTCATAAAGTTGTTGTGAAGATCAGATAAAACCCATAAAACACTCATTACAGTGCCGGGAACATTGTAAGCACTCAAAATATTTTCATTGACATTATTATTTAGGGCTTAGATAAAATTCTCAGGTAATGTATAGTAAGCAAACCGTGAGGTCTGTGATGAGCCCTGGTTTATATAAGTTACCTGTTTTATTTTCCCATTTAAAAAGTTATACATACCAGCTAAATTTTAGAAAATAGGAAGAAAAATAAGTCACTAATAATTTGAGCATATTTCCTTCAAGGCATAGTTTATTTTTCAAGTTAGTTTCAAGCATGTGTCTATTGTTTTTCTTAAAATTATAGCATGTTTTGTTTTTTAGCAGAGTCTTTAAAGGCCATATAATGTTTCTTTAATATGGATTATTCCACATAATATTCCATTAGGTAAATGGGCCATACTTGAGTTTACTCTTCCTTACATTTACATATTATGGTAGGAGATTTCTAGTATATGATTACTGTAAATAGTGGTGTAATTAATATCTGTTTTGAAAAACCCATTTTCTGCCACTTATAGATATTTTGTTAGGATGTATTTTCAAAAGTGCAATTTCAGCATTAAAGCATACAACTTTTAAAAAGTTCTTGTTTCATACTGCCAATTATGTCATCAGCTGTGATGTTTAAGACTATACAGGGTGTCCCAAAAATGTATACATACTTTGAATGATTATAAAGTCAGTGTTTATTAACATACAGCTCATTTTCAAAATTTAAAAGAATCTGCAGAAATGAATAATTTATTTTTGTCAATGCCTGTTTTCAGACTGATGATCATTCTGGTACTGCTAATAACACGAAGCAATGGAATCACAAACATCAAGAATCATTTCGTTCGGTATTCATCTACTGTTGCTGGTTTCATATTTTCAACTTTATATTTTGTCTAGTGATATTTTAGGATAAAGTTTATTTGTTCAAAGCCTAGTCTGGCTTCACCCATTATTTCAAATCAGTTAAACTTGAAAAGGAGTGAAAATTAAGTGAGTTATCAGCTGTTAAAGTGTGTATACATTTTTTGGGACACTTTATATGTTTTAACATAATCTCCTTTTTTATTGTAAATTCTCATTAATAAAAATTGCTAAGTTGATGGACAAAAATGCTACCTTGGATTACTAGTCAGATAGAGTAATTTGTCTCTTGTTTCAAAGCCAACTGTATTTTTAGCACTCTTCTTTCTTTTTTTTTTAAATACTTATTGGAGCATTGGTGGATTTTCTACTTAAATTTTTTATATAGTAAAGATATAAATAACATTTTGACCTATGGAAGGGAATTACGATATCTCCCCAAATTTCACTCTGAGCTGAGACAGAATTTGGAGATCAAACCGGAGAAAAGCATTGATATGCTTATCGGCTAGCATTAATAAGTCATTATCAAGCCATTAAGGATAAGGGAAAGTGGAGTGGGAAGGGTCACCTGCTTCACACAGTCTGAGGGTCCTTGTCACAGCTGAGCTTGAACATAGCTAGGACTCGAGTTCTGATCTGTTTGGTTTTGGCAGCATAGATAATGGGATTGAGCACAGGAGGCAGGAGTAGGTAGATATCACCCATGAGAACATGCACAATGGGATGAAGGCTGTTTCCAAAGCGATGTACCACTGAGAGGCCAATGAGAGGCACATAGAAGGCCAATACCACACTGATGTGTGACACACAGTTTCCAAAGGCCTTGGCCCGCTCTGACTTGGAAGGCAGTCGTAGAACTGTTCGTATAATCAGAAAATAGGACAAGGAGATGAACAAGACGTCCACGCCCATAATCAGGAGGATGGCAGTAAGACCATAGACCATATTGGGCAATGTGTCTGTTTGTGCCAACTTCATCACATCCTGGTGTACACAATAGGAGTGCGAGAGCACATTGGACTGGCAGAAGGCCAGCCGTTTGATGAGCAGAGGCAGTGGGATAAAGAAGAGGGATCCACGGACCACGGCCACCACACAAATTTGGGCTGTTACTGTGTTGTTGAGCACTGCAGCATGGCGCAATGGGTGGCAGATGGCTATATAACGGTCAAAGGCCATGGCCAGAAGGATGGTGGACTCAATGGCCGAGAGAGCATGAATAAAGAACATCTGGGCAATGCAGGCATCAAAGGCAATCTCCCTGGAATCAAACCAGAAGAGGGCGAGGATCTTGGGCATGGTGGATGTGGACAGGGCCAGGTCAATGGCTGCCAGCATGCAGAGAAAGAGGTACATGGGAGCATGCAGGCTGCGCTCCGTCTTTACGATAAAGACCACGATGCAGTTTCCAAACACGGCCACAGCATACATTGAAAGCAGAGGGAAGCCGATCCAGAAATGGACTTCTTCTAGTCCGGGGAAACCAATAAGCACGAAGGTGGCATGTGTGAAGTTGCAGGAACTCATAGCTGGCACGGAGAAGGGCACTGGAGAAGGTCAGGTCACACTGGCAGCCTGGTAGGAGATGGAGCACAATAAGAGAAGCCAGCCTGGAAACCTGGGGACTGATGCACCTCAGTTCTCCTTCCTTTATTCTTTCCTCCCTCTTCCAAGCCTTTTCGGCTTTTTCATAAGCTATGAAGCCCCCTCCAAAGAGAAAAGTGACAGCTCAAATTCATGTACTGTCACTATTCTCAAGGTCCATTTATATTTTTAAAAGGGAACCTGGAAATAACATGCTTATCCCCAAATGTATCCTTCTCAAGTTCCCTTAGACTCCTTCTCCCAGCCCATACCTTCATTGTCTGGACACTGGATGGTCCTTTTCTCAGATAGGTGTTAAGAGATACCCTTTTGGGAACCCCTTCCAGATATGGCTGTGTCCTCCTCCTCTCCCCTCCCCTCCCCTCCCCTCCCCTCCCCTCCCCTCCCCTCCCCTCCCCTCCCCTTCCCTCCCCTTCCTTCCCCTCCTGTCCTCTTTCCTTCCCCTCCCCTTCCCTCCCCTTCCTTCCCCTCCTGTCCTCTTTCCTTCCCCTCCCCTCCCCTCCCCTTCCTTCCCCTCCTGTCCTCTTTCCTTCCCCTCCTCCTGTCCCCTTCTCTTCCCTTCCCTTCCCTTCCCTTCCCTTCCCTTCCCTTCCCTTCCCTTCCCTTCCCTTCCCTTCCCTTCTCCATTCTCCTTTCCATTCCCCTCCTCTCCCTTCTCCTCTCCTGTCTCCCTTCTTTCCTTCAATTTTTCATTCATTCCATAAACATTGACTTACATGACATACTATGTACAAGGTTATTTGTTAGATGCTGTTGATACAGAGGTGAAAGACACCTTTTGCCCTTCAGATGCCCTACTTAGAGTGAAAAAGGGACAAGTAACCAAATTATTAGGGTTTGGGAATGTGCTAGCATAAGGTGTGCATTTAATGCATGGGAAGAGGAGAAAGCATGATCATATTCCTGAAAAAGATGATCCTTCTGTTCAGTTTTGAAACATAAGTAGAAATCAAACAGAGAAGGGAATAAAGGGTATATTGAGGATAGGGAGGGTTTTGTTTTGTTTTATTTTGCTTTGCAATTTTTCAGGATTCCAAGTACCCAGGTCTAAGGTCAGTGTGGGGAGAAAGAAACACAATAGTATTTTTTAAAAAATTAAAAAGAAAAAGAATATGAAGCAAAAGGCCAAAAGTCAATCTATTAAGAAAAAAAAAAAAAAGGAAAATCATCTGGGGGTCATTGAATGAAAGGCAGGAGCTCCCTCCAATGACTTCTCTGGAAATAAAAGTGCTGGCAGGGTGTGGGGCCTCCAGCAGATCTTAGCTGTTTGGCATGTTCCCTGCGAAGGCTCTTCTCTCTCTCTCCTTGCTGATGGGATCCTACACATGTGAAAGCTGCCTACAAGGCCACTCTTATTGTCCCAAGAACTTGTTCCGAGTCCAGATATTCCTAGAGCTTTGTCTTACCTGGAACATTGGCCAACATGGCATTCATATTAGGGCAGACATTTCCTTTTTAGAAACCCAGTGCTGTTCTGCCGCAACCTCCTCAACCTTAAACACATGTACTCTGACTTCATTAAATGTTTCCCTGCTAGGCTCCCTAGTGTCCTGGCTTTTAGAGATAATTGTATCTCAAGAGCCAAGGAAATGGCTTCAATAAGAACCTCTGAGTCTTGGGAATAAATTCTGCAGGAGTCTTCATCAATTGTGTTCAGGCTAACTGTTCATCTTGCCAAGATTCTTCTTCGCTCCTAACCTCAGTCCTTAACTGCAACTGGGAGATGCTCTTCTATTTGGCCTTAGTGGAGAGAGTTTGGAAACAAGCAGTCTTACATAAATATAATAAGATGAGAACTAAAAGATTTGACTTGTATTATCCCCATTGGAGACAAACTAGTAGTAACAAATCCAGGGATTAAAGATTATAAAATCCACACCTCTGACTGCTATTTGCTTTTCTCCATCCTCAGAACATGTACAAAGGCATAACAGCTACCCTCCTTGACAAGCACAGATCCCAACTTTGGACCCTAGCTGCTGTCAGAGAATAAAAAGTCCTTTTCAGAGGCAGATAATGGCATCCCTCAGTGAGATCAAAGGAAGCTTATATCTTGCATCCATCCAACCATCTATGTATCTGACATAGGTAACCTGGGGAAAGGAGATTCAGAAATCCAAAGAAATCAGGCTGGTAAGTATGTGGTAATGCTAAGGTAACTTTCTTGGAGGGAGGCCATATCACTGGACCTCTGTGTGCAAGAGAAATGGGGCCCAGCTGAAAAAAAGGGTAGGAATGGAAGTAGCAAGAGGAGCATAGTAACATATTTCTTCCTTTTCAAGGCCTCCTACCCATCCCACTGCATGTAGCACTTTAGATCAGTGGTTCTCAACCATCTGGCCCTTTAAATACAGTTCCTCATGTTGTGACCCAACCATAAAATTATTTTCGTTGCTACTTCATAACTGTAATGTTGCTACTGTTATGAATCGTAATGTAAATATCTGATGTGCAGGATGGTCTTAGGCAACCCCTGTGAAAGGGTCATTCGACCGCCAAAGGGGTCGCGACCCACAGATTGAGAACCGCTGCTTTAGATCGATATAAGGGTCTCTGTTGGCCGCAGAGTCAGCTACTGTCCTGACCCATCACTCCACAGGACATCGTTTCTGCTTTCCTGGTAGCAGTCTAAGACTTTGGGCCGTCATCTTGTTTCCCTAGTTACCTATCCCAGAAGACCTTATGTCTCCCTCCCAGGTTGCCTTGCCTTTTGCCTAAGGTGACCCCTGGCTAGACCCAATTTCTGATTATCTTTGGGTCCAAATGTGGCTGTTGCATTTATACTCACTTGCTAATGCTCTGAGACATTCCTTCTTGGCCCATGGAGGTGTAGGTGGCATGCAAGGGCTTTCCCTGCCCTGCTGTGAGGCAGTGTGTGGGGTCTTCAAGGTCCCTTAGGACGCAGGATTTGGGCTGCCTAACCCCAGGTGAGGTTGCACTCACTTGAAACCGGTGCAGAGAAAACAGCTGGAGCTGGCTTGCCCTTTTAGGCACAGGCCTATTTATAATGCTGCCCAGGAGGCCCATGGGAACAGGCTGTGGGAGCATGGACTGGGGCTCCAGGGGCTTGGCAGACGGGGAAAATATCTCCATGTCCTTTTGTGTGCCACTCCCACAGGTTTCCCGCTGTTTCTCTCTGGGGGGAGGGGAAATCACAAGGGCCCCTGCCTCTGGCATCACTCCCACACTTACAGATACAGGGCTCTCGCCAATCTGTCTCCACTCTTCCAGGTAACTCAGACTCCTCAGTCACTGCTCTTCCTCATTAGCCACTTTCCCAAACACAGCAGCCAATGTGCATTTACTAGTGACGTCCTTGGGCTCTAGGAGTTCATATTCTCTTTAAAAACCAAGGTAGGCCCCCAAATGTGCAGTCCCATCATTCAAAATAAGGGCATTCGCTTCTTCAGCTTTTCTTTTCCCATCTTTTCTTTCCGTTGATGAAACAGACCTTGATGTATGGAAATCACTCTTTATTGCACCTGTGTTACAGATAAAGATTAGGTGAGATAAAAGCTAGTTAATTAGTGATAATATCAGTTGGATAACCAGTTTTTCTGAATCTTTATTCATTCATATTCAACAGATATTTATCAAGCATGTTCAATAGTTTAAGGAGGAAAATAAAGGGAATGTGGGAACAGATAAATATCAGGGGGCAGTTGACATTTTTAATAATATATTTTATTGATTTTTTACAGAGAGGAAGGGAGAGGGATAGAGAGTTAGAAACATTGATGAGAAAGAAACATTGATCAGCTGCCTCCTGCTCATCTCTCACTGGGGATGTGCCCGCAACCCAGGTACATGCCCTTGACCGGAATCGAACCTGGGACCTTTCAGTCCACAGGCCGACACTCTATCCACTGAGCCAAACCGGTTAGGGAAGGCAGTTGACATTTTAAGTGAAGCTGCCAGGGAAGGGCTCACATAATGGAAACATTTGAGGAGAAGCCTGAAGGGAGTGAGGAATGTGTCTATGGAGATATTTGAGAAAGGCCATTTCAGGAAGAAGACAGAGAAACTACAAATAAAGTTCCTGAGAAGGGGGTGTATTTGATAGTTTAGAACAACAAGGAAGTCAGTGTGCCTGTGTAGACAGACAAGGGGCAGAATAGTAGGGAGATGAAATCACAGAGGTGAAGGGGAGTTGAGTCACATAGGCCCTTATAGGACATTTAAGGGTTTTCACTTGGGCTCTGAGTTTGGTGGCTACAACAGTGGTCTTGTGTCTTCATTTATTTTTCTCCTTAAACTACTGGCTTTTGGGAAAGTCTCCAATTCATTATGAGCTTGTCCACCTTAGTCAGAACACAACATTTGCTCTGCAAACCACCCATTCCTGATGTGTCCATATTACCCACACCCTAGGGATGAAAGCTTATAAGTTTTCAGAATTATTAGGCAGTGGGGCTGTTCACACATTAGTGTGTGTGGGTGAGGGTGGGGAGACATCTGTAGAAGTAGTGTGAACATCTTGGCCATCTGGATCTTGAGACTGAAGTTACTTCTTCTCTTTCCTATTTGTAAGACTCTGAGTACCCCCAACCTTCTTCTCTAGTCTACGTCACTCTTTTTCTTTCTCCTCTTCCTCTCTTCATACCCTATCTTATGTGGTGTGTTCAAACAAACAAAGAAACAAACAAACACCCAGTATGTAATTCCACATCATCTGAACTTTTCCACCAATTTCCAACAGTGAATAAAATATTGTCCCTGGTCTTGAGAAGTGGGCACGGAAGTGGGCTAGCTGCAGTAGATTCTGAAGAGGGAAGTTGTGCACGAGAAAGAAGCACAGGTACTGTAGGAGCACCTGGAAAGGACACCAGCCAGACTTGAGCAGTCAAGAAAAAGTCTCTGAAGGAAAGTCACTTTTAAGTCAGGAGAACGGAGAGAGTGAAGGTGATACAGGTGGAAGTAAGAGCTTGTCGAAGGAATGAAGTGA